TGTCACAGGGTCGTTGCCATTTAGCAACGAGACCTTATGCCAAATTGTCGTCAAATGTCGCCACAAATACAAACAAAAAGACAGCAGACTTGCACCGAAGTTATTCTACCTATTGTCTCTATTCTGTAACATAGAAACGTTATAAAACTTTTCCGATTATACTATTAGCTAGGTGTGTAAAAGTATTTTTAAAGCAATTTTCAATCCAAGCCTTGAAATGATTTATTTTCGGACCTTCATTCTCGGCTAGATTGCTCGAAAAACTTACCAAGCTAGCTTTTACTGGGTCTTTCGTTAATAACAATCAGTAGATCAATTGTAAGTTGAAAAAGATGAATGGTCTGGTTCATATTTTGGTTCTGATCTGAAATGCAGCTTGTCAAGCTATAAACATATATTTATCTCAGTTTATTTTATGATGCGCACATTTAAAACCAATTTTGATGTGTAACATTCAAATATTTTGCTCTGAGTAGAGAATACGATGAAAATAATGTTATGCTCAATCTGACTGAGATTAACCATTGTGTTCATCTTCATAGGGTGCGAAGACCATTTGAATCACTCATAGTCAACAGTTGTATCAAACCACGACTTTATTGCTACATTCTTGCCGCACTATATTACAAAAACGAATGTCGAAATTTGAAATATATCAGCTGTGCTACACTTAAATGTTCCACTGATGAATAGAGAGATACACTACAAAGAAAAGGGGTTACTAACTATAACTTTGAAGTACCTTAGAGTCAACACAATGGAACGAAACATTTCTCTGTAGGAACTAATCCCACCAACAAAAAGTGTAAGCCACACTCCACGACCCTGTGTCAAGTGAAATAAAGACTTATTATCAACAGTTCGGTATTACGAAATAAAGAGGTAGAATAATAATGGTAAATATAAGCAGAAGCCAAACAATAATGTTTTGTCAAAGGAGACTGAGACTTACTAAGATATACCTGCACACGTTTTCGATGAACGTTAACATACACAAAAATAGAGGAAATTAAGAAAAACGCGAATACAATCAAATCGAGCACTTTTCCGTTAAGTTATTTATCAATAAAGATACATAAATGTCAGAAATTCAGCTTCATCTTGTTAAGACATTGTCACGGGAGATATCTGAAGTATCCAACCCACCGTAAACTGCCACTGTAAATAACGCCGCTCTTTACCCGTTCTTGATATGTATGTCTCAGTCAATTTTGATCTTCGAATTCTGATTCGTTTGTTACCAACGGTTTTTCTTTCTGGTTTCTGATTCTAAAGATCCAAATATTTGAGATTTGTTGCGAAATCTTTTATGATAACTACCATACAGAACAATGTGTTGGCAGGTTTACAAATATAAATAAAATTTGCCTATTCCAAAATAAGAAATCCTGTTTTACCCGTTGTTTGATCGGAAGCTCCGAATTACAACACATTCGTTTCTCAGTCAACACAAGGTCTTTACTTAGTTCATCTGATTCTTTAGATTTTTGGGACTTACTTGAATGGTTTTAAATGCCGTTGAATTTCTGAGTTTATTTCGTTCGGACCAATATTTGATCCGTTCAGTGAAACTGGATTATTTGTTTTGGACTAATTCAAACCTATTAAAGCAACAAGACGTGGAGTGGAGCAAGGATATACCATAGAAACCAGAAGGGAATCCGGATATGAACTTTAGATTTTTAGAGTTGTTTGTGCTTTGTCTAATATCATTGTTGAGATATTTGATGATAACACGAGTGTTCATATTGCAAGTTCCAGCTGACTTAGTTCCGCAATGATTAAGTTAAATAGGGCATTGTTTACCCAAAAGCGACTGGAAAAGAGTATGAATTTAAGGGAGCTAAAGCCAGTAGACTTTCAAGGCAAAGTTAAGTTATCAGTGTAAGATCGGAATGATCTACAAGATTATGATCAGTTGTTTTTAGAATGTGGTAATGTAGTTATTATTATTGAAGGATATCTACCAATCAATGCTGTTCGTAGCGTTCATTTGGAAGAAATACCTAGCAGTACATAAGGCAAATGACCTTTTGATGTCAATGATCCTTCGTATGCAATCGTTAATAATAACGGTCTAAGTGAAATCGATATCTAATCATATTCAATATTTTGAAGAAAATGTATTACTTAATTAAAGAGGTGCGATGGTTTTTGCATTAAATGTTCTATTAAACAAACGGAATATATACAAAACTAGATAGAAATAGCCAATTTAGGGATTCAAATAATTACGGGAGGGAATTATTAAGAAGTTATTGGCGCTAGCTAAGCTGTACCGAGATAAGTTGAATACACTAAGTAATATTCACATTTAATAGGTCACTCAGCGAGACATTTTCAAGACGTTATCCATGTGTCCAACTATATCAGCGACATTCTTAATCGAACGATGTTAATAATAGTAGCTACGTGGTTTTAAAGGGAAGTTGGATTATTCTGGTTTCGTGATAAAAAACGACGAAGTTTACGATGAATCGGAATTTCCATTGTACCTATTTTCCATTACTATATTGTACTACATGACCCCTATAGTAAAGAAATGACGACTAAAATCAATAGCTCTGTACATCTTCGACATTTGATGCTGACCACATTAGTTTTAATGGACTCACCTAGCTGAAGGCTATCGGTCACGCATCTGCACCAGATCGCGAATGGGTACGCTGTTTCCAACTTCTCCTACAACCTCTAGCCAGCTTAGATCAGTCACTTCTCGATATATAGATAGCCTATCAAATATATCTTCGAACCTCTTCTCTTCTGACTTCTGGTTTCACTGGATTGGCACGTTTCGATTATAGGTGTTACTGGCTAAGGTGTTGTCTAATTCCAAATACTTGTGGCATCCTTAGTTATTAAACATTTGTTATCCTATACTCTGAGACTTACAGTTATAATCCAAAGAGCAGATGATGACATCTAAATAAAGAAAATGTGTTCAAAATCATATCTTTTTCCTCAATAAAAATGTTTATAAATATTTACACATCATATGATAAGGCCAGACACCTGGTATTAAGAGTATAGAGATGCTGAGTTGCTAGCTGTTATTGTTCTTCTGTGGCCCCTACGGTGACGCATTCTAGCTCATTTTTACATAGAGAGTTCATACTATATCCTTATGCACAATCTTACTTTTATGTATTACTACCAGTGAAAAAGCAATCGGCGATCATGCTGCAACTTCCTTTCAACTGTTTCGTGAGTGCTGACGTAACTTCTTGGACCGAAAGAAACCCTTTTTACTTTTTCTACATTTTCGTAACCCAGTTGTTAGTGTGTGGCACATATGTATTTGGTGCCTCCTTGTAACAATATTTGTGTTAAAATGAATACACATTATCTGATTTTGTGTTTCTCAACATGTCATACATAAGAATCCTAACACACAAGCTTTTATACCACGTCACTTATGTATTTTGTTTTTCAACTTCTACAGCAGTTCGCCTGTGGTGGCGAGCCTGTCCTATATAACTGTATGAAGTCACTGTTAGATCGAAAGTTGAATTCTACCACCAACTACGAATGCTGAACTAGTCTTTCTGGAACCTCATATACCATTCGGATTAGCCTCCTCCGATGTTCGCACACTAATGCAGGTCGGACGACAGATGGGGTTGACTATGTCTCTATAAAGTCTCAACATCGATGTCTGTCGTCTCTCCGAGACCCGTATTCAAGACTCTAGTGAGGTGCTACTAAAGCTTGTTTCACGTGCGTTTTTCTGGGGACACTGGCATCTTCGTCTGGTTTTGCTGGCGTTGGTGTCGCAATAAGCACTAGAGCTAAGACAGCATTGATCGATTGGTTCCCCATTGACAGTCGGTTATGTGCTGTTAGATTAGAACGTTCCATCAAAGTGCGAAGAAATCGGTGTGAGAAACGATAACTTTCCATTATCTCCACCTACACTCCGACCGATTTCAGCCCGGATGAGATCTAGGATGAGTTTTACCATCAGTTGACTGTTCTTCTACAGAAAGTGCGTTCGACAGATATTGTAGTGCTACCCAGACACTAGAATGCTCAGGTCAGGCGTATAGGAGAAGAGAGAGTCGTCTAGGTGGTCGATGGGAACTTGTTGGTCGCAGGTCAGATAACGGTAGCCGTCTACTGCAACTTTGCGCAGACCACAAACTACTCCTGGCTAGCAATAACTACCGGCACAGTCATCTTGAATGTGCCATCTAGCGTCCTCCCTCTGGACCTCAAGCCTGGACTCAGATCGATCACATCGCAATCAGCTACCGCTGGCGTGGTACAAGACTGGCGTTCCATTTGGAGTACATATCTGGACTCTGATCATTCCCTTGTTTGCGCTTATCTTATCTTCTCAGTGGCCAACAAATTCATCGTCGTAAGCGGATCGATGCCAGATAATTGGTTGTACCTTCTGGTGCAACCAAATATGAAACGGAGCTAGGTTCAAGGCTAGCAACCATCCCACCGAAAGGTATAGATGAGCATTGGTTGCAATTGCATGACATCATGGAAATGACGAGCAAAGTAGCTTGCGGCTTCGCAAGATTTCCCGCTTATAAGAACTGGGTTTCTTCAGGCTCCTTACAACCAATTGGAGCCCGCCGGTCTAGATAACGACCTATCTTCATTCTATTTGAAAATAGGGCCTCCGAATCTAACAATCTGATACTTAATATTTGTGTTGCGATTTATGCCATTAATTTCCTATCCATATGAAATTTTTTCATTTTTTTAAATTTCTCACTACAATCCATTCCATAGTTTTTTTTCCTCAACAACTACTGGTCACCAAATTTTATCCGTAATTCTATCAGTAATACCACTTTAAATAGCTTAATTCTGCTTTCCAAAATGATCTTGACCTTATAAATAGTAATCAGATAAAGCGATATCGGGATGATATAACAGTTATGCATTAAACCATACCTCGTCTGAACATTTAGAAACCTTGATGTTTGCTTGATTTCAGAGAATTGTTCAATGAGTAAAACGATTTGTTTTAAACTTCAGCAGATTGAGAACCTACTTTCGAAGCTGAGAAATCAAGTAAAACAAAGAAAAAGGTTAGTTCACTCACTTGGCATTGAATTTGTACATTAAAACTTGAATTTGACCTACAAGGCGCGTTTCATTGGCCTTCAGATTATGATGTTACGAGAGATCCAAGATGCGCTGGGTGGGAAGTCACCGTATGTTTTTGCGTGTTTGTAAAGATTTATTTCTACAGAACTGTTCATGAAGAAAAAAATAAAAGGTTTTGGAAGTGTCCTCAACCAAACTGTCACGGCCTTGCTTGTCCCACTGACTTCAGGTGTACTATGTGCAACAAAGTTATTGATTTATCTGATACCTCTCTGAAATCTGCTAAAACAGAACCTGTCATACCATCATCCAATGGCACTCCATCGGTGAAGAGATCAAGGATGGCCAACAACACCCACCTTGTTCCTCTCAACATATTCAGTATCGGAAGATCAGGGATTTTTGATGGCCGTGCTGAAGATTGTTGCATCAGTTCATCTTCCATTTCATGCAAAGTTAAAGTAGAAGGTAAGCCTTTCACGTATTCTATTTCCCAGGCGTGTGGACTAGTGTCACCATCCAATACAATAATATGGAAATGCTTGTTTTCTGCGAAACCCTACAAGTGATTTTCGTCAAACCATCTATTTCTTTCAAGACACAGCTTTCTGAATTGCTTAGAATCAAGGAATTCATTTTGCGTGAGTTTTTTGATCAGTTATCATATTTCATACTAAGGAGCACTCATTTTTCGTTACGTAACCGAACTCCATAATATTGTTTGGCTTCACCGAACAGTAAAGTGTTCATCATGCGTTAGTAATCTATGTAAATAAACAGATATTGATCACCCAACTGTCGTGATGAGCTAATAGTTCATATGTAAGCACTACTCTCTCTCTCTCTCTCGACGTCATATCATAAACTGACCTGACTACTAAGTCCATGGACACCATGAGAACCAGTAGAATGACACGCTTAAAGTGGAATCAAACAGCATAAAATTTGTAATGGCAATAGATTAAATCACCATGAATATAATAAGACATTCTCTACTCCATTACTGTTTACCTTATGTGGCTACTACTGGGTGTGATCTATTCATTAAAAACGATTGTTCGATGCAAGCGAAAGCCCTTGTAACTCTTGGCACTCTGACCATACCCAATATGTATTGTACATGCAATCGCTTTTCACCAACCCACAAGGATCTATCCGGTTAGCACAATAGTGTTTTTTTAGGTAATAACCATACCCATTCCACGTACTTCAAAGCTATTTATAGGATATCAGTTTCATTATTAAAGATACATGAGATTGTGTTCTTACCAGTTTGTAGGGATATGTTCTGTGTTCCTATTCAGTATTCTCCTAGAGCTTGACCAGCTGTACTAGGAAATATATTCTGTGTAATAGTCTCAAAAAGGGATAGTATACTGATTTGATCATCGTTACAGTTATTCGCTTCATCTGTCCGGAACTTTGAGCATAGTTCCATAGTCACAATTGTTTGCTCACGCCCTACTATATAATCGACCAGTGTACGTACATTCATCAACCATCATCCTTCCTCGTTATTGTCGATATCAGTATTGAACATGCAGTAGTTAATTCATTCATTTCTGCCTCATTTGATTCCGTTTCTCTAACTGATCATAAACTTCTCAATATCTCAGCTACTCCTACAACAGGTGCAAACCATAATGCTAATAGAATGATTTAATACAAGAAGGATATCCACTGTTAAATATTTTGATTATTTGTAAATAAATTTGTAATTGATCTTCTACGATATTGGTTAGTTACATAGCCTGAAGAATTACAAGTTCTCTTTGCAGATCAGATTAATTATACTGTCACGATAACTTAGCTGCCCCAAATACCCTGGTACCGTCTAGTGTATGCAGAGTCCACTCTCCCGAAATGCTCCCATATGACCACGCGAATATAGCCACTACCAGGCAAGTCCTACTCACTCCCTTCTCATGGCGGGGTGTTTATTAAATTGAGAGGACGAAAAGTGAACATTGGACACTTGAACCGGGTTAGTGAGCACGGCTGATCTACCTAGAAGAACTGGAAGACCGTAATCCCAAATCATTGGTGCATATGGGATCCACGCTACTAAGGGAACAAATGACGTTTGAGCCTATTCATGACCACCGGCTATCAGAAGACCGCATCTCCTAACGTTGATTCACCGCCTTGTGGATTAAACCTCTGGGCTAAAGGCTTGAGATTAGCTGCCTAAGTAAATCATCTCCTTTGGTTTGGAGACCTGGACAGTATCCCAAACCACATAGATTTAGTGATAATTACCTTATCTGGTGCATATGTATTTTGATGCTCCTTTGTACTAATGTTTTTGTTCAAACAGATGATTAATATATAAACAGGGTAATCCCTAGGTAAACTCACATTTGAAACATCCATTTTTAACCTCAGTCATGTTTTTAAGAATCTTCAAACTCACGTGCTACACAACCAAATTATGTCCTCACCACCCGTTAGTATTCATTACTGTTGACAAAAGTCTAAAAATTAAAAATTTAACTTCTATCTGACCCATAAACAGGGTACTTTGGCACTGGTTGGTTCATCAAAATTCGTTGTAGCAAGCAGTGACTTAGTCTTTGTTGACTTGACCAAAAAGCGTTTAGTAATAACCGTTCTCCTTTAATCTTAATGAAATCCTTAGTTTTCTAACTACATGGTTTCTACTCATTATTTCGTCCACACAAAACTAATTTTATTAGATTCTTTAATAAACATTTTTATTTAGGGAGGTAATTTTTTGAAAGTGTTTTGATCATATGGTTTGACAAACCCTTCCCATTTATTCATTTTAAAGCAAGCGTCAAATGGTTAATTTTGGTATTCCGGGAACCACCTGCTAGCGACTTGTTGTATGTAACAGTAGATGATCTCGAAGGTTTAGCCAATCGAGTTCGTGAAAATGGATCTTGTGACATAAATTGTAGTGCAGAAAAGGCTAGAGAAATTCTTTCTAGTTGTGGCCTTCGTCTGCCACGTGCTGAATCTAAAAGGACTAATTCAACTTTCCGTGAGTCTCAGATTTTTAACCAAGTCGATCAAACTCAAACCAAATCTGACAAGTATCCCATTTCAAATTTGGAATCTAGTTCATCCCAAGTTGACAAACACACAAATGAGGGAGGTCTGCTGACTGATGTGATAAATACTCTTACTCATTCCGGTATCCAACTGACAAATAACTCAAGTTCACTTCCTCAGGAAAGCAAAAATACTATCCAAGGAAAACTGACAATAGGTGAAGTAAGTTAAAGGATCGTTTCACATATCGTAAATCCAATAGTAGTATAAACCTGTTCTAATTTTTGTGTGGTGTCGATATTGTTCATCCTCTTTTTTCGGCATGTTTTCACTCCTTAATTCGTTGACCACAAAATTTAGGTTATTCACTCAGAATCTTGTTACATTTATCTCGCATTGTGTTACTGGTAATGGTGGATAAATTTCTAGTTGAGTAGTTTATGCAAGATCGATGTTACAACTGTATTTTAATCATTGACGTACTGATTATGTTCTACATTATGAAGATATTTATGAATCTTAAATAAAAATGAAACAGCTGCACGTGACTTGCTGATTACCAGTGCTTACTGCCAGTCTGCACTTAAAATTGTCTTCAATTAAGTCTTTCGTCCTCCTGGGGCCCCCCGAATGCCCCGGTACGACCGAGAGTGGGGAGAGTCCGCTCTCCCTCTCGAAATACTCTCACACGGCCACGCGTATACAGCCTCTGCCAGGGAAGTCCTACTGATTGCCTTCTCGTGGCGGGGGTGTTGTTTACGAAAATGAGAGGACGAAAAGCGAATGTCCGGCGCTTTAACCGGATCACAAACCAATGGTGCACATGGGCTCCAGTATCCTGCGGGAACAAATGGCGTATGAACCAATCTTTGGTCACCGGCTATCATGGGATTGCATCTCCATACGATGCTCCACTGCATTGTGGGTTAGACCTTTAGGTCAAAGGCTCGGGGTGTGGCCCCTTAAGATAACCACCTGCTTCGGTTTGGGCACCCGGGCAGTATCACAGCCCACACACAAATGATGAACTCTTTATGTCTATGGAAATTACTTTTCTCGCGTCGAAAAACAATCAATTGGTTCAAATTATTATCATTACAATTATTGTCATTAATAATACTATTACTATTGTTACTATTATTGTCATTATTATTATTATTATTATTATTATTATTATTATTATTATTATTATTATTATTATTTTCCACGTTATTCACCCTCTTTTATACTTATACAGCGGCTCGTCTTTGGTGGAAATTCGACTGTATCTAAACGTTCTCGAGTCACTGTCCGGTTGAAAATTGTATGTTACCATCGGATATGAGTACTGAAGCAGTTTTTCTGAAACCACGTGCACCATTCAAACTGGCTGCCTTCAACGTTCGCACACTTATGCAGGTCGGACAACAGATAGGGCTGGCTATGTCTTTGGAAAGTCTTAATATCGATGTTTGCTGTCTATCCGAGATCCGTATTCAAGACTCTGATGAAGTACTACAAATTTGCTCCCCATCTCTCGCTTCGAAAAGCTTGTTTTACGTGCGCTTATCCGGGGACCCTGTGGCATCTTCGTCTGGTCTTGCTGGCGTCGGTGTCTCACTAAGCTCTAGAGCTGAGGCAGCACTAGTCGATTGGATCCCCATTAACAGTCGGTTATGTGCTGTTAGATTAGAAAGTTCCATCAAAGTGAGAAGAAATCGGCGTGAGAAACGATGTCTTTTCGTCATCTCCGCCTATGCCCCGACAGATTGCAGCCCGGATGCAATCAAGGATGAGTTTTACCACCAGTTATCAGTTCTTCTCCAGAAAGTGCGTTTGACAGATATCGTAGTACTAGCCGGAGACTTGAATGCTCAGGTCGGGCGTCTAGGCACAGAAGAGAGTCGTTTAGGTGGCCGATGAGGACTTGTTGGTCGCAGGTCAGATAACGGGGACGGTCTACTGCAACTGTGCACAGACCACAACCTGTTTCTGGCTAGCACTAACTTTCGGCACAGTCATCGCCGATGTACCACCTGGCGTCCTCGCTCTGCATATCAAGCCTGGACTCAGATTGATCACATTGCGATCAGCTACTGCTGGCGTGGTTGTGTACAAGACTGCCGCTACTTTTGGAGTACATATCTGGACTCTGACCATGCCTTGGTCTTATTTATTTATTTATATGGACACATGAATATTGGTACAAGAAGGCGCCAATATTTATGCGCCACAGAAAACAATGAGAATTCGAAGAGAAATAAGAATAAAAAGAACTAAGGAGCGCAAAAGAGAAAAAGAAAACAATAACGAAGAGATTGGTGTAAGGTAGTGTGGTAGTAACGAGGGAACGGAAAGGTACAATCGGAAGAAATCTTTCAGGTAAGGGAGACACAACCACTTTTTATGAAGAAAGTAAAAGAAGGTTACAGCAGGATCGCCACTGGCTTCTATTCTGAGCCATATCTGATAACGTCTCTAGCCACTGTGTAGCACCATCTCTCAGACCCCAACCAGGGAGTCGTGAAGAACATGTCCAAGCCACCGAAGTCGGTGTTTCGAGATGGTGACACCAATTGCATTATCGTCTCTGTGCCCGAACACACGATGCCGAACCTCTGCATTACTGACATGGTGTTGCCACTGAATGTCAGCAATCCTTCGGAGACAGCGATGATCGAACACAGAGAGTCGTCTAACGTCCTCAACTCGGAGAGGCCAGGTTTCACAAGCATAGAGCAAAACTGCTCTCACCGGTGCGTTGTAGATCCGACCTTTTACAGCCAGACTAACATCACGAAGGCGCCAAAGATGGCCCAGATTGGCATAAGCCGCTCTGGCTTTCACTATACGTGCATTGATCTCATCACTCACACCCCCACCAGCACTTATGCAGCTACCCAGATACACGAACTTCTCGACTACGTCTATCTGCTCACCATCCAGGGTGAGTACAGGATTGGAATCCTGCCAGTCTTGTAGGAGTACTTTGCACTTCGAAGGTGCAAAGCACATACCATACCTACGAACACCGATTGCCAACTGATTAAGTGCGGACTGCATGCCTTGGGCATTATCGCACAGTAAGACAATATCGTCCGCATACTCAAGGTCGAGAAGTCTTTCTCCAGGCAACAGATCCACACCACCATTACTTACATTCATCAGAGCTGTTTCCAGAATGTCATCGATGGCAAAGTTGAAGAGGAATGGTGAGATTGGGCAACCCTGCCTGAGTCCACTGCTCGAATGGAACAATTGAGAAAGGTGGTTGTATGCCCTCACTCTGCCTGAGGTGTTTTTATATAGGGCTTTTAGGATGTTAATAAACTTCTCAGGCACACCCTTCTTCAATAGACAATCCCAGAGAACAGTCCTGTCCAACGAATCGAAGGCAGCCCTGATGTCAAGAAACACTACGATTGTTGGCCTTTGATAAGTATGGCGGTGTTCTAACATTTGGCGGAGGGTGAAGATATGATCAATACATCCTCGACCGGAACGAAACCCAGCCTGCTCCTCGCGAGTCAATCTTTCTCGGGTTTTGAACAACCTACGAAGTATGACGGAAGCCAATAGCTTGGACGCAATCGGAAGTAGACTTATCCCCCGATAGTTGTTACAGGAACGACGTGAACCCTTTTTAAAGATAGGGACAACTATCGACTCATTTCATGACGTTGGTACACTCTCTAGTTCCCAAACCTTTGTAAACAACGTCGTCAATTCCTTAGTCAAAAAGTCACCACCATCTTTAAAAAGAGCCGGAGGTAAGTCATCTGGGCCAGGTGATTTGTAACGCTTCAAGAGTTGGAGTTCCTTGCGAACTTCCTCCTCGTTTGGTGGATCAGTCATCACCGGCCATGGAGGGCAGGACAGTCTGACCGATGTTGCCGGAGCAGCAGGCCAGTTGAACTGCCCTTCGAAAAATTCTGCCCACCGTCCAAGACGTCGATGGATGTTAGTGATTGGCATCCCATCATCCTCGCAGATTGTTTCACTCACACCAGACGTCTTGCTGTCAGTGGCTCGGATGAGCTGGAAGAGCTTGCGGTAGTTACCAGATGCAGCTGCTGCTTCCAGCTCATTAGCACGCTTCGACCACCAGGCTTCTCGGTCCTTACGCAAGCTTTGCCCAATTTCTTTACATAAGATCCTTCGTTTATGGTCAAACTCACGGTCACCCGGAGTAGACCGACGGGCTTCAATGAGTTGTAAGGAACCAGAAGAAACCCAGTGCTTAAAAGCCGGACGTTTCGCAAACCCACAACTGACTGTTCCCGCCATTTTCATGGCGCCATGCAATTGCAACCAATGCACATCTATACTTTTCGGTGGAGTGGTAGCTAGCCTAGAGGCTAGCTCATAACCGACTGTTAATGGGGATCCAATCGACTAGTGCTGCCTCAGCTCTAGAGCTTAGTGAGACACCGACGCCAGCAAGACCAGACGAAGATGCCACAGGGTCCCCGGATAAGCGCACGTAAAACAAGCTTTTCGAAGCGAGAGATGGGGAGCAAATTTGTAGTACTTCATCAGAGTCTTGAATACGGATCTCGGATAGACAGCAAACATCGATATTAAGACTTTCCAAAGACATAGCCAGCCCTATCTGTTGTCCGACCTGCATAAGTGTGCGAACGTTGAAGGCAGCCAGTTTGAATGGTGCACGTGGTTTCAGAAAAACTGCTTCAGTACTCATATCCGATGGTAACATACAATTTTCAACCGGACAGTGACTCGAGAACGTTTAGATACAGTCGAATTTCCACCAAAGACGAGCCGCTGTATAAGTATAAAAGAGGGTGAATAACGTGGAAAATAATAATAATAATAATAATAATAATAATAATAATAATAATAATAATAATAATGACAATAATAGTAACAATAGTAATAGTATTATTAATGACAATAATTGTAATGATAATAATTTGAACCAATTGATTGTTTTTCGACGCGAGAAAAGTAATTTCCATAGACATAAAGAGTTCATCATTTGTGTGTGGGCTGTGATACTGCCCGGGTGCCCAAACCGAAGCAGGTGGTTATCTTAAGGGGCCACACCCCGAGCCTTTGACCTAAAGGTCTAACCCACAATGCAGTGGAGCATCGTATGGAGATGCAATCCCATGATAGCCGGTGACCAAAGATTGGTTCATACGCCATTTGTTCCCGCAGGATACTGGAGCCCATGTGCACCATTGGTTTGTGATCCGGTTAAAGCGCCGGACATTCGCTTT